CCCTGAGATCCCGAGGTGTAGGACCCAGCAGAGCCTCGCGCGACTTCTGGACCCACGCACCCGAACAGGACCTGGCGAGAAGCCGGAGGTACGGGAGACCGACCTTCGCCGGTAGCCATGGTCCTTTTGGCACCAGTACCCGATTATGAGGGACTGGCTAACGGGTGCTTGTGCAGCACCACGTCTGTCCACTTCAGCAAGCCCGCGAATGAATGGCCCAACGTCGTCATTTTCACAGGCTGCGCTCGGTATCAATTCGATAATCGCGGACGCGATAGAAGAATGATACATACATCGCAAGGATGGATGGGTGGACTCCTTGCCACCAAGCATTCGACACTTTAATTTGCGATTGCACGACTTGCGGGAGCTGAACGACCCCCATGAAGGGGCGTTCGGGGCTTGCACTGGTCGCCACACAGGAATCCTTGAGGGGATCCTGAACTCGCGCTCGGGACGTCACCTCTTGACTCTCTGCTTCGTGGACATCGAGAAGGCCGTCGAGGGGCACAAGCAAACGATCATCCTGCCTTTCTGCACGTCGAACCGTCACCGCAGCGTAGCCATGGGCATGCTTATCATGCGGGGCTCTACGTTCTTGGGATGGACCATTTTCTTGGCCATCTCCATGCCAACGAGAGCTGGGCTGACATGAAGTGCGGCGGCAAGTGCGCAAGATGCCGCGGGCACTTCGATGATGCCGAAGCCACCGCGCTTGGCAACCGGGTACTGGCGCAGCTGGACCCGCAGATGGCGAGGTACGCCTACCGACCCCGCCTCCCACACAGCGCGCCGTCACCCGTGAGAAGGGTACCCTCCATGGTGGCGGCACACCAATCCCTGCATGGGCCCCGACGGGAGCCAGGAAGAGAAGCAGTACTCCAAACAAGCAGCCCAGAGAAGGTACCACCGGGCCCACTTCGCCGCGGTTCTGGTGGACCCCTAACAGGCCAGCCTCTCACGTGTTGTGCCCCCGCGCGACGACATGCACTGGAGAGACCGTGCTATCCGAGCGGAAGCACCCTTCGAGAAACTTCAAGGCGAGATTCTGGAGCTCAAGGACCGCAATGCGGCCTTGGAGTTGAGGAACACAGACCTGGAGCAGCAGAATCGGACCTTGTACGGGCAAGCTTGCGTGGCCGAGGAGTGTAACAACTGGTTTCAAGAACAGCAGGAGGCCGGGTTTTTGTCGGGGTACCACCAGCAGCGGACCCCCGAGGAGTACCGAGTCGTGGCCGGTCTACCTGCGGGAGATCACCGTCTGAGGACACCGGCTACATCTCGAGGAGCTCTACGCCTGGCCGTTCTCGATCTGGTTTTTTCCGATGAGGCAAAATGGGCGTCCGTTCTGTCACACCAATCCGCAAGGGTGGTGCTCCTGGGAGCTCTGGCGACGGCGACTACAGTACTTCTTTTGGAGACGGTCACGATACTACGGAAGCCATCGAAGAAGAGACCCTGAATGTCGTACCTGGAATCGACGACAATCCTGACGACGCCACTTCCTGGGCAGCCGGTCTCTCGTTCCCCGACATGATGGACCTCGCGCGGGCCATCAAAAGGGACCTCAATGACGCAGGTCATGAGGATAAGAAGAGAGACGGCTGGAAAGGCCCCATAGGCCTAGGTGCAGGTAACACCAGGACCTTGTTGCACAACGCAAGGTTCTGGTGGAGGCCGCGCAGCCATGGGCAGCCGCTCCCGTTCACGTGTGATCGATCACTGCGCCACTGGCTCAAAACAGTCGTTCTGTTTGAGGGTGACTAAAACAGAATCATGCTACGGGACGCTCCCATGGACGCCCAAGTACCGGGTCTGCCGGACTTTTGGCCCGGGGCCCCAGGTGAGGCTCACCGTTTCCAAGCCCGAAGGCCAGGGCAAGAGGAAGCAGTGCCGCGATCAGTCGCGTGGAGCATACAAGCGGGATGGCGCGCTTTTGGGGATTAAGGTTTCTAGCCCGAGGTCCGAGCCTATAGTCCTCAAGCAAGGCCCCGGAGCTACCACAGCTACCAAATCCATGCCTAAACCCCCGAGAGCCCAAGCAGTAGAACCTGAGCCCTCTCCTAGTTTAGCTTAGGCTGTTGAGGCCCAAGTTTCAACAGAAGAACAGGAGTGGAAGGAGGTCTCAAAGAAACACAAACCAGCCCGGAAACCACCCCCACCACCTCGACCTTCGAACCTCAAGCCCAAGGAACGACCCCGAAAACGATGGGCTGATTGGTCGGATTCAGGGTCAGATGATGATGAAATTGGCAAGCAATTGGGTTTGACTTTGATGAAAGATGATGATGGTGGTGTTCGTGGTGATGGTTTGATGATTTCTTCAGAGGATCCAGGTACTGCATTTAGATCTGTTGGTTCCTTAGCGGTTTTAAGCAAGGCGAGGAAGAGGCTGATAACCAAAGGTATCGCCCAAGTAAGGGACTATGACAAGGCCCTCAAGAACCTGCTTAACGTTGCCAACTTAGGAGCCACTGTCGGTCCTAAGCACATAGTTGTCTTTACCAGTGAGCCCCACACCTTCCAGGATCTTCCAGGATCAAATCATCCATTGCATCGATGTGGGCACTGGTGCCACAGGCCGCTGGACTCCTAACGGAGCCAGGAAGGAGCTGCAGGATTTGGGACCTAGTTTGGTTGTTGTAGCTATTAAGTATAATGATCATAACGAGGGTCTAAATGACTCCGATCTCGTAGACGAAGTGATTGGCCATTGCGAATTAGCAGGAACTCCGTACCTCTTAGTGGACGGAGCGCAAACAAACCGTTGGCAAGAGGCAAGCATACCAATACACCCGATGTATGGTATAGGCGACATCTCTTTCTATGGCAACGATCAAGGTGTATTGGATGACTTTGGGGGTTGGTGTACCAAGAGCCATCCCTATATGTCACCCCTAAGCTTT